CAGTGCTGCCTTTTATGACTTTAACTTAGATTCAGGTCTCAAATCTAATTTAGCTTACATTTAAATGTGTTCTGCTGTGTCAACCCCGATGGTACATGTAATATTGCTTCCCTCTGCCAGTGACTTTCATTCCCTGCACACTCCAGTTCCTCTAGCTTTATTTTATGTGCTCTGGACTCTGGCGTTTTCGGCTGAGCTGCTGTAGCGGGCTAACAGCTTCTCTTGTTTCAGTGCTACAATACCAAGTGCTGATTATGTGCCTGTGCTTCACCAGTCTGTTGCACTTGCTTCCAGAATTACTGGAAGAGTTTTCTGTTTTTTACTTACATTTCCATAGTTCAGTGATTGACATATTCTATGCCATATCAAGGCACTGAACAAATAGCCAGGGAGGTTTCCTGGGATTCTTTACATTTCTCTTCCTTTTCAGAAATTTAGTTGGCAGGTATTTCACATAATAGTTTCCAACGTGCATACCACATCCCAGCAGTCATGTTTCCTCTCCTGCATACTTGCTGTGCTCATTCTGTACTACTTTTTTTGTCCACTTAGTAATAATCTTACATGTATATATTTGTGTGTTTACATATATCAAGCTTTTTTATTTGAAAATCTCCAGTGGTATTCAGTCGGCATCCCCAGTGTTCTGTCTGGCATTGGATGGGTAACCTTGAGATTGTTGACGCTTTGGTAATTTCCCGCTCATGCTAAACTTCACCTTTCCAAAGCCTACCTCTGCCTTTGGCTCCCTTCCAGCCTCGAGATGCTTTCCACTCCATTGTCTTGTGTGAGTCAGGCTGCAAAATGAAACATGCCCTCAGTTCTAAGATTCACTTTCCAGCCTTTGGGACTTGCTGATAATTGTGGGATAGAGCAGAGGCTTTATTTGCTAGCAGTTTGGATTTGGGATGCATAATTTTTTTTTTCTTGTGATTTTTTGGGAATATTTTTACTTTCCAGCAAGCACAATATCTGTTTCTGTGGGCCAGTAAAAAGAGAACAAAGAATTGGGGGGGGGAAGATAAAGGGGGGAAAAAAAAAGGAAATGGCATCTGGCAGTTGAGGAAGGGGGAGGAAGAATAAGGAGGAAAATTATTTGTTTGAAAATTCAAAGGGAGAGCACAGCCACTGGTGGGTTATGAATAAATCTTTATATTCAGTGTACATTAGCAATCAATTGACCTTTCACAGAATTTGCAGCATTGTAATCACTGCTCATCCCATTCAGCACCCTGCTCTGCTCGTGAATGTGTCCGTCCTCCCCCCTCGTCTTGTATTACCCTGCAAGATCAGATACCACAGGCTGGTTTTATAGGGAAAGCCCTGTCTTCCTTAAACCTCAGATCACTTAAGTCATATTTTTTGACATGTCAAAAAATTGGATAACCCAGATTTTAGGTATTTACCTGCAACAATCTTCCCCTGGATTGAGAGCAAACTCAGAATTGTAATTAGCATCGTGGAATGTATTTGAGCCGTTGTGACAGAAGGGCTGCAGGGGTTAGAAAGCACTCCTGCCCGGTCAATATTCGCTCTACGTGAGCGTACTGATGCAGCAGCTATCAACACTGGAGAAATGTGTGGATGTGCCCAGAAAGATCAATGACTGTCAGAGGTTCACAGACACCAAATGGCTGGTGCTGGATTCCGAAGAAGCGCCGGCTGTCTGGGCTGTAGGACGAGTGCTGAAGGGAAGAACGGTGTCTGGAAGGAATCAAGGGGTTGAAGAGCAAAGATGAAGTAAAAGCCGCTGGTACGAACCAGAGAAAGGGAGGAGGGCTATTGCTAAATTTTGTTAGTAATTTCATTCATGTGATTGTATTTGAAAGGTCTGTCCTGTGAAACAAAAGAGCGGAAGAGTGATTAACCTGTCCAGACGAGCCGTCCGTCCGTTAGCCTGTTTTAGTTTGAGATGTAATTCTTGCTGGATGTTTTCCAGCTATCACTAATTTAAGTGTTCACAGAAGAGCTGTCTGTTCACTAAGCACTTGGAAATTAACTGATGAACTGTGTGCTTGCCAGGAAGAGCAGATCTCTGTGCAGCACACCTTTATAGAAGCCTGGAAGCCGAGATTTGTGTTCTTTCTTCCGCCTACAAAGCCTCCTTGCCATCTGCAGACTGCAGCGTGCTGCAAAGACACCCGGGCTGGTTGTAACCCAGCTGTGTACGAACTGTGGAAGCTCAGCACAGTCTGTAACACCGGCCCGTTGTGGGGAGAGAGCTGCTGTCCTTAGGCTGCTCCCAGTATTGATTTTTAAAGCCAAAGTGGAGTTTAGTTATAGGCTGCAGGCTCCGACTCTGCAGTCGTGCATGCTTTCCCGGGGGGGAAAGCAGGGGGTCCTGATGTTAAAACAAAAAACACCAAACAAAACCAACCCCAAACAACTGACGGAGTGTCGTACCTTTAAAACGTTTTCTCTAAGTGCCTGCATGCATGTGGACTCTTGCAGTTGAGGATGGATGTCGAACATATTCCACGGCAGTGAACTGTGTTACTGAGGCCAACATGAATGGATGAAGGTTTTTATAAAAGGAAATACCTTTCTTGTGCCTTAGTGTTGTACTTGTTAAATTCTTAATTGTTTTTGAGCCCTTCAGTTGACTGAGAAGTGAGCTGTTTAATATTGTCGGGGAAACCTTATTACAAATGTTGTGTTGTTACAATTCCACTTTCAATGTGGTAAATGTCACCGTGGCCTTTGGGTTGATATGAATTTAATATTAGAAATCACTTTAATGGCTGTATTACAGAACTCTTATTCAGCAAATGCTTTAACTTAGGAGTGGTGCTTAACAGTTGAAAAGCATTAGTTCTGATAACCCTGATTTGCTAGGAAAAATGTCATCTCGTTATGGATTTCAGTGGCAGAAAAATATACAATAGCCACAACTTGAACCCAGGCACACAAAAAACAGCACAGTCAAAAGGAATGCAGCGGTGACTGTGTCCCCAAATGGCTGTCACCTTTTCTAAGTATTCTCTGAATGCAGGTGCTTTTTACAATTTCTGTTGAAGACCTAAAGTTTAAATAAACAGAGAAGAGCAGCATGTGCAAGAATGATCTACCAGGACAAACGTGACCATTTAAGGGTTTTCTGGTAGGGTTTGTTGGGGTTTTGTTGTGGGTTGTTTGGGTTTTTGTTGGTTTGGGGTTTTTTAAATACTTATACTGTAGTTTCATTCTTCTCCAAGAGTAATTTTTGGCTAAGTGGCTGGGGATGGTTCTATAAAAACTGAAAAAAGCAGTACCTTAACTCTTCCAAGTGTGTGCATCATTAATTTTGTTACCATTGTGCTTCCTGTAGCCTTTTATTTGCATTTTTTTTCAGTCCCATTACATTAAACTCTAGATACCGAATATTCAGAAAAGTGGGCAGGGGGAGGCCAAGGTGGGTTAAATGTAGGAACAGTTGCTTATTTGTCTCAGACTTCAAAAATGTATTTTCTATGAAGCCTTTCTCTAATTTGTGCTGATTTAAAGCACGTACGCATGTGAGTACATTTGAGAGCATTTATGTAAGCAGCCCTGCTGATCAGGGGGTCTAGTCCCAGTGAAAACCTTGAAATTGGACTTTTACGGGAGAGCCTGATAACATAAAGTAAGAACAGCTCAGCAAAAACTCCCCATGGGGGGAAGCTGCAGGCCCAGGACAGTTGAGAAGGGTCATTTTCAGGCACGTTCAATTAATCTTTGATCCACAAGAAATCAAAGTGTTTTCCCAGTCATGGGGTTTGGAAGCTGACCTCCTGTGATAAGTAATGTAGCTGGATGAGTAGTTCAGTTGCTTCTAAAGCTCTGCTGGTACCTAACGCTTCTCATACACGTTAGCTGTTTTGTATCTTCTCCAAAGCCCTGAACAACTTCCTAAAAAAGCCCCACGTCCATGGACGGTGCAGAAACTTGACCCTACCTGGCACTGAGCACGCAAACTCTTGGCAACTTCGCACTAAACATTCCAGGGCAAAGTTCTACTGGTTTTGCTGGCAGCATGATAGCAGAGGAAAAATAAGTTACTAAAAGGAAAAACTGCCCTTGATTTAAAAAATAAAAATGTATTAAAAGCCCCACCTTAGTTGTAACCCAATACAGTGCAACAAGGTGATGGTATGTTGGGGTACTGGAGTCACGGACTAGATCTCTGGGTGCTGGGATTTGGGTGAAAAGGATTTTTGCTTCCTCCTTTTTAGCAGGGTGGATTGGGCTGATCCCTTAAGTACTCCTGTGTTAGTTAAGTATGATCTCAAAATATTTTGAGCTCTGTAGCCGAGAAGGACCATCAATGGTTCAAAATGCAGGACTAGGAATAAGGGAACGGGGCTTTGAAATGATAATAATAATAATAAAAAAAAGTTATTCTCTGGTCTCAAGTCTCATGTGCTTTCATTTTTCTGTTGGGGGTTGGTTTGTTTTTTTGGTTTTTTTTTTTTTAATGGATGCATTTACTTATATTTGAAAACATCCATATTAAAGTCTGACAATTCAGTATCCAAACAGGCTTCCTAATTGCTATAGTTATAGGCTTAAAAAAAAAAAAATCTCAATTTATTGGTGTTGCAGCTTGTGAATAAGTGAGCATCTGCAGTCTGCTGAGGAGAGGGAACACAGAAATTTCTGAGCTACAAGAGTGCAAACTAGAAAAGAAACATTTCAGCTGTGACAGCATACCTGTTGGCAAGACTTCACTTTGTAAATGTGCTGCAAAGCGAAAGGGAGATTGTTGCTGAATGTCTTGTAAGAGCAGCGAGCCTTCTGTTTCTTTGCTACTTCAAGAACAAATGCAGTTGAATGTCATTAACTTCATTAGACCAGGCCTGATTTTAATGTGATAATAAAACTGCTTGTTGTGTCAAATTATTTTGGATGAAGTTTTCTTACCTGTATTATAGTTGGCTGTAATTTTTATTCCTGAACTTTCAATTTAAAAAAAAATAAGTCAGTGTCTCTACTGGAAATACTGACCTGAAGTTACCTTTCTTTTTTCTTTTTTTTTTTTACAGTACTTTTCTGTATCTGAAGTTCCTGGTGGTGTGGGCCCTCGTACTGTTGGCAGATTTTGTCCTGGAGTTCAGATTTGAGTATCTGTGGCCATTCTGGCTCTTCATCAGGAGTGTTTACGATTCCTTTAGATACCAGGGTTTGGTAAGTATAACACAAAATTACTGTCCCGTTGCAGGGAAATCCTGCAGTGTTTCAGGACATGTTCCATGTTATACAACTCACTTAATAGCGCTGATCATTTTCACAAGAGGAGGAATTTTCAGGTGACTAAGCTCAAGCCTCTTCTCTCTGACTGCCTGTTTTATCTGTGGCAACTGGAAGCGAAGTATGTAGCTGTCAAATTTTCGCCATAGGAAAATATTGTTTGAATTCCTAAGATAAGTGAATTATATAAGCGGGTTTTCTTTAAAATAAAAGAGAAGCTCTTGCCTGCTTACGTATTTACTATTCTTTCAGAGAGTAAAGACACTGCTGATTGTTTGGGGCTTTTTTTTCCAGAAGGAGAATATAGTAATGATAATACTGTAACAATAGTGTAAATGCAAGTGTTCAAACAAAACAATAAGGAATAATTGTAGCTGCATGGGGACTTGCTGGGAGAGTGGATGGGCAGAAATTCTCAAGTTGCACCCGTTCTGTTAATTAGCCAGGTTTGTACTTTGTTGCTTAGGCTGCTCCATTTCTTTGCCCTGATTATAAACAACACTAGTGTTTCTATGTTGAAGTTATTGTGGTGTCACCATTAATAAATAAACTGGTAATATTTGCTGGAATAAACCAAAACACTCTTCTTTCCCCCCACCCTTCTTTTCTTTTAGGCCTTTTCAGTATTTTTTGTTTGTGTAGCATTCACATCAAATATAATCTGTCTGCTCTTCATACCAATACAATGGCTGTTTTTTGCTGCCAGCACCTATGTTTGGGTGCAGTATGTCTGGCACACAGGTAGGTCACTATTCTTTAATTACAACTTCTTGATCTGAATATGCATCTTACAGCTCTTAGTAATGTGCAGAAACCTTCTTCTATTTGTTACCATACTTGTTTTAATGCACTTTTCTTGTAGTTAAAAAGGGGAGATGGTTTCGTCTGTATGAGCACTAATACTGGACATGGGTTACATATATGTCTTTCCCTCAATCAGACAATTTTAGGAATAAAACTTGAAAATTTTTTTTTTTAGAGGTAACTTTTCCCTACCCAAGTCCTTGGAATTTGGGGCTTTTGTAATATTTCATGTTAGACTTGCCATCAGATCACAAGAATTTGCAGGGTAGGACGGATCATTTCTCAGCTAACTGGTGAAAGCAGTCATCTTTCTGACAAGTTAGTCATTTATAATAATGGCAATGTGGGAGCTAATGGAAGATACCGTGAACCAGTTGCTGCCCAATTTAAAATATGTCAAAAAAACCACAAAAACCCAGGAGTTGTTTTTAAGATTGTATGAAGATGTTAAAGTGTTTTCTGAAGTTGTTCTCAGAGTTGATGTTTAGAAACCCTAAAGCAAAAGCCTGATGGGCCAGTTTTAACTGTAGCTATTGAACTTGTTTAATATTTTAATTCACTGCAGCCTTAGGGATTCTTCTTTTTAAGTGCTTATCTAAGTTGATGGGAATTTGTTCTTATTTTTTAGGAAGTTATGATCTCTTTAGGTGGCATGTCTGCCTAGCTGAAACGTTGAGCCCCTTTAAGCTGACAGTTTCTGCTGTAGGTTTCTCATTTATGCAGAGTGCAGCTGTTCACGAGAGACCAAAGTAGAGACCACAGTAAAAACATCAGGGCCTCAGAGTAATGCTCTTTTTAGTTTCAAATCTGAGACCTGTTTCCGAATCAGCACACAATATGTTGATGTCAGTATGTAATGAAGAACTTTGTTTATTTTTATGAAGCTTGTGGCATGGAACTGGGATTGATTTGTGGAAACTCACAGTGGCTATATTGCATGCAAGAGTCGTATTTTCTGTTGGCCAAGAGGTTTAAGACCTTGGTTTTGCTTGGCTACTATTTTACATTCTCACCAGTAGTGCTGGAGAGAGAAATCAATACAGCATCCTGACCGTTCCCCGCTGTAGTCGCAGGCTGTTGTCTGCGTTACTGTATATGGAGTAACCAGTGCTGTGCTTACTCACTCCTGTTTTCTCAGCTGGTTTGCTCACTGCTGCTACTAAGATATACCGAACTTGGAGTGCGAAAGTAGTCCAAGCTTACCGCTTCTGACTCAAAGATCATAAGCTGTAACATTACCTCATCTTCTGCAGTTTCTTCCATTTGTGTTCCTTTTCTGTACAGGGTTTTGTGCCAAGCCATTTCACTAGCTGCACATCTGTTATTTTTCACTGATGCCTTGTAAAAGTAATAAAGCAAGATAAGGAGACAAAAGTTTAGAGTTGGTTTAAAATAAAGACATCCTAGATCCTTCCTTCTGAAAAAGCCCTCTTACAGTTCCCCGTATGTCTGTCTGCAAATTTCCCTTGACTTGTGGAATGTTTGAAAAATAAAGTGCTGCTTGTGGTGTATTTACTAAAGTGTTTCTCTCTTTTTCCCTTCCCTTGATAGAGAGGGGTGTGTGCTTACCAACAGTATCGCTGTGGATACTTTTTGTTTATATTGAAGCAGCCATTAGATTTAAAGATTTAAAAAACTTCCATGTAGACCTTTGTCGTCCATTTGCAGCACACTGGTAAGTGTGGGTTTTTTCCTTTTGTTGTTAACCTTTATGTTACCAGGGAGCTTAGTGTTCGGAGCTTTTTATTTTGGTTCAGGGTTTGGCTGGTGGGTTTTCTCCTCACACATCTGTCATGAAATATTCCAGGAGAAATGTATGCTAAACGTTAACCAAGTGCAACCTTTCTGAAGATTTCAGTACTTGTGAGCTGTAGGGAATTCATAGCATGGATGTCCCTAACATTTCGTGAAAGTTCTTTTCATCGGTTTAGAAATTTTGTATTTACATAATGAATAGATGGTAAAAGTAGCAAAACAAATTATTTAACTGAGAATTTATGTATACCGTTATGAAAAATTTCTTTTTTTTCTGTAACAAAGGACTCCTCTTTTCCCCCCTCCAATGAGAAGGGTTCATGTGAGCATTTGATTTCATAATTTACCAGAGGAAGTAAATAAGCTTCAGGTTGAAAATCATGGCAGAAAATAAAAACCAAGCACTACTTATTACACTACTTATTTGGAAGTGATAAGAGTGACTTCAGGCAAAAGATTTAACTGCAGAGTATCCATATCTGGAAGAAATGCACTTTTATTCTGCAAGTTTTTAGTGGAGTATGCATTGGTGAGGCTCCATTTCAAATGTGTTGTGTTTTTCCTGGAGTCATTTGGTCCAGTTCCCTGTGATACCAACTGTAATGAATTAGACATCTGTCATTTTAATTTATGTTGTCTACATTGTGCAATAAATCCCTTAAACACTAATTGAATCCTATAATAGGTTACAAAAGCACTTCAGAAGCTGTGAAGAAAGGTCTTTCTGCTGCTGAATTGGATGCAAACATTTCAGCTTGTCATCAGAGTTTTCGAACTGTAGCTACAGCTGGCTTTACACAGGATTACAAAAGCAGCATTGGCAGAGATAATGTCAGATGCATATGCAAATGATTCCTGCATTCTGGCAGCAGACTTAGAAATGCAATTTGCACAGTGCTATTACTGAGCAAAGAATGTGAAGATTTTAATGGTTAATAGTTATCTACATCTGAGTTTTCCCCTGATCTACATCACCGTCAGTGTTTAAAATGCAACTGCACTGTGCTTTGTGAAATACTTGTCAAAGGTATCTTTATACAGGGATGTTTGGTCATTGAGTGTCCTTGTTAATAAATACACTAGCAGGATTTGTTAGCATTCTGCATTGGTGCAGTTGTCACAAGCTAATAAGAATATTTAAATTCTGTGTGATGAAGTTGGTATACAAAAAATAATTCCCAAGTTCTGTTACGCTTCTGTCATCCTCATCAACGCATGGAACAGCAGAGTCTGGCTGGAAGTGAAGTTCTTCATACCTTCTCTGTTAGTGAGATGAGTGGAAGAACTGAGATTAGGTGGTTTTCACTTCCAGCTTCAAGGACAGCCTCCTAAACAAGGAATTTCCAAAAGCTGTTGCCGCAAAAGCCTCTTCACCAGAGGCAGGTGGTTATTGGGGCTTTACCCCCAGGGTCACTTGTGGCTGTACCAGCCGTGGGTGATGGCGCTGGCTCACAGCCTTGCTCTCCCCCAGGAGTGCAGTAGCCCCAAATCCCTGTTCCAGCAGCTTCTCCAGCTCTGGTTTCTCAGCCTGTGCTGCAGGGAGAAGGTATCGCAGGGCCTTTCAGAGGTGGTATTTTGGAGAACCATTGTTTCCTCTCAGCTTTAAAGAGTGGTGGAAAAGGGATCTGCTCTAAATTTCCAAGTACAAGAGGATGAGGCTAAGGATCAGTTTCTCCTTTCACTGTTCTGGATGAATGCTAACGCATCTCCCAGTGTAATGTCTTACACAGGAACAAAACTTGGGATCTTCTGCTGTGTTTGGCCGTTATCTTCTTAAAAGATGCGGAATTCCTAGTCTGGTGCTTGCTAAAAGCTGTCTTTGCTATGTGTAGTGCAGTTGCATTGTCCTAATCCTTTAATCTATGCCACAGTTAATTGCTGTCTGTAATGAACTGTAATTTTATCTTGATAAAGAGGTGCCTACGCTTTTGAACTGTAGCTCTATTATAGGACAGCAAAAAATGTTTTATATATAATTTTCTATGAAAAGTTGTAATTCAGATGTATGCACAGCTATGGAATTAGTTATGACTTATTAATTTGCTATTAAGGTTCATTTTTTTTTAATAACAATGTTGCTTTTTTTTCTTAGTATTGGCTACCCTGTTGTGACTTTGGGGTTTGGCTTTAAAAGTTACGTCAGCTACAAAATGCGTTTAAGAAAACAAAAAGAAGTGCAGAAAGAGAATGAGTTCTACATGCAGCTTCTCCAGCAAGCTCTGCCCCCAGAACAGCAGATGCTACAAAGGCAAGAGAGGGAGGCAGAGGAAGGCAAGTTTTACTTATTACTTAATGTTTGCTGTTATCTGCTATTTAACAACAACAACAAAAAAAAAGCCTGCAAAGGAGGAGCTTCTTTAGTTTGTGTTGTTTTGGTGAAAAACCAGTGAACTTAGAAACACAGGAGCCAGAAATAAAATCATTTTGGCAGCGGTTAGTATGACAGTAGGAATGAATTATGTCCTCTCTGTTTAGTTCTTTATTAGCAACTGCATCAATCTAGTCAGTCGGTGCTCTGTGAAGCACAAGTATTTATTATTAAATCCCTTGGTTACTCTTTCCTGCCTGGAATGAGAAAAAAGTCTTAAAATATCATGTGACTTCAGATTTTCTTTTCTAAGTAGACTCTAATAATGATTGTTTTCTGCAGAAATGATTGATGTGTACTTAATGATTTTTCTTTATATGTTACAGTATTGATTGATTTAATGAACTAAGTTTGTGGTGTGGTTTTTTTTTTTTTTTTTGGTATTGCAGCAGCCAAAGGATTATCTGATATGGATTCCTCGATACTTTTGCAGCACAATGGAGGCATTCCAGCCAATAAAAAAATATCTGCAACGTTGCCAGAGCTAGAATATAGAGAAAAAGGGAAAGAAAAGGACAAGGATGCTAAGAAACACAACCTTGGAATCAACAACAATATTTTGCAACCTGTAGACTCTAAAATACAAGAAATTGAATATATGGAAAACCATATCAATAGTAAAAGATTAAATAATGATCTTGTAGGAAGTACAGAAAACCTCTTAAAAGAGGACTCATGCACTGCCTCGTCCAAAAATTACAAAAATGCCAGCGGAGTTGTGAACTCCTCGCCTCGCAGTCACAGTGCAACTAATGGGAGCATCCCTTCCTCATCTACTAAAAATGAGAAAAAACAGAAGTGTGCTAGCAAGAGCCCAAGCACACATAAGGACTTAATGGAAAATTGTATTCCTAATAACCAGCTAAGCAAACCAGATGCACTGGTAAGGTAAGTTTGATCTGAGCATTGCGTAACAGCCTGTCGTATCCTCTGTTCATTCTAGTACATCAGTTCTTTTTCATAGGAAAATGGAACTTACGGTCCCATAAAGATGATAGAGTTGTCTAGTAAGGGAATAAGATAACTAGGAACTGGGCCTTTTGGGTTCTGTTCCTGATTTTTGCCCATGGTTTGCTATCCAGCCTTGTGCAAATTGTTTCCTTTCCGCCTCAGTCTGTGATACCTGCCTACCTCCCAGGGGTGTTGTGAGGCACAATAAACAGCTTGGACAGTCGTTGGGTAGAAGGCATGAGAGCAATGTGGAGAATCGCTATTACAGAGCTCGGTGGATGTGTTCTTGAGAAATCTTCCATGGGGTGACCTTAACGTCTCTAGGGACATACAGTGCTGTCGTTACCAAAACAAGTACTTGTAAGAAAGAGGTAGTATCTGAATGGGGAGAGAGATACGTCCAGAACAAAACTGTTGCACAATTATGCACTTTCCTACCATTCCTGGCTTATGTCTCCTCTTTTCCTTTTCTCACGTCCTGAACGCTCTTTGGCCAACAGATCCTCGTTGGCTAACTTAATTGGCAGATGGGGTTCGCTTTCCCCACAGGTACCTTTTGGTAATTGGACTTTTGACTCTGGTCTGTCTCTGAGGATTTGGGCTGTGTGAATACAATTACTTCAATGAAAATACTGTTTTCTCCTCTGATAATCACTCTGCCACCGATTGGCATACCTCTGACAATTAAATATCCAGACTAATTGATACCTAATGTCTGTAGAGAACTTGTATGAAGCAAAGAAGAAACTAGCTAATCAATCTAATCTGTGAATCAAACTCCACCAAGATTAATGGGATGCAGATGGCTCTGTCTTCAGCAAAGCTGCGTCTAAATAAACGTGTACGGCTGCTGCATTTGTACGTTGCCCCTTTCAGATGGGCTTCTGTATACTCTATGTAGCTTATTTACTCACTGAAGAAGAGTACAGCTTTTCTGCAGTTCAAAATGTGGTTCATGGCCAGAGTGATTGTTCAAAGGGGGTTTTCTGGTGCAGCAGTGAGTACACAATAAACTAGACTGTGCCCTTACAGGGTTGCGGCTCCTCTGATTCACTGGGAAGGGATGGCGTACACAATTAGTGTACTCGGAAAGTGCCTTTGTGCATCAGAGCCATATTCTGCCCTGAAAGTGAATCAAGCTACTTCAGTCTTTTGTTTGTCAAGTGTTTCTCTGTGATGCGTGGGTGTGACGTGGCTGTTTTGCCACAAATGTGTGTAGCTGCTTATTATGCACCAATTTCCCCGGGCAGGCAAGCCGGGAGCACTTAAAACACCAACATACTGTGTGTCGCTGCTCACAGTTTCTTATAAGCTTAGATGACTGAAATCATTCATGAAGTCTTGTTTCAGTGCAGATTGAGTATGTAACTCCTACGCCAATAGAAGCATAAACTTACCTGACAAAGTGGATGGGATAGAATGCACTTAAATTCAAAAATTCCTGTTTATTTTTTTAACTTGTCAGTTACCCTGTCCCTGGAGTGTAAGGCATTTGTTCATCATCTTTTCCACTTCCAGTAGCATTACTCATTCCCGTTATTAAACTTGTAGCCTGCATCAGTGCTGTACCCTGAAAAGGGCTGTGTGAAGCCCTGCGTTTGTGGCTGACTTTCAGATCAGATCTGCTCAGCTTCCAAATAAAGATGCTTTTCTGTAACTTCTTGTCCAGCAGCCTCGCAGCAGGATGTCAAAGCCAAGCTGCTTTCCTTTTGTGTTCACAAATGATTTCCCCGAGCTGACTAACCAGTATTAAATGTAAAGTATGCCTTCTGACTGCTAGGGACTGGGGATTAACAGGGGTTAGTCGAAACAGGAAAGATTGAGGGTTTTGGAGAACAAGACAGTCTTGCATGCTTGCATGCTTTTTCTCTTAAATGCTTGATGTGACATCTAGATCTGAAAAGGTACTGCTAATTAATATTATAAATTAT